AATTCGGGTTTGGTTTTATTGCTTTCCGTAGAGTACAGGTTTAGAGGTAGAGAAAAAGACTGAGCAGAAAGGTTTTTTTAGTAAGAAGACAGCATTAAGAGTCCATCAGCTGAAGGTAATCGACGTCGTCCTCTTCCTGCGCTTGAACAACATCTGATTCTTTCACTTTGCTGCCAACTTCATCAGCCCCAGCCCCAGCCCCGTCAACCACGTCGAGGCTGCTCAGGTCGGCGATAATGTCCAGCAGGTGCTGCTGACTGCTCGCCTCAAAGTGGTGGTGCTGGCCACTGCTCTGCTTATTTTTGAAATGTTTTGCTGAAGAAGGCGAGTCCTGGTGATCTTCGAGGAACTCAAACTTGAACTGGTTGTCGGATGCAGTTTGTCCTGGTTGGCCGTTGGCGTCTGCTGCCGCTGAAGAGGAGGAAGTGGTGGTGGTGGAGGGCGCCTTGCAGATGAGCATCGCCAGAAGGTCAATTTCGTTGGTGGTGTTTCGACCAGCGCCCAAGTTTGCCGACTGCAGATGAGGCTCATCGTCAGCGTCCTTTTCACATGCCGACGCCGCCTCCTGTTCCTCTCGGGCCGCCTCTTTTCGATATCTGTAAAAAATGGAAATAAGTACTTGAAAACGGTTTTGTATGTCCTTACATGTTCAAGCCCAGCGTCGTCCGTTGCTCATTGACGACAAACTGCGCGCCCACCTCAAAGTGCTCCGTCCGCTCGACGGTGGCCGCCAGCGCCGGGCCGGAGCCTGCTGCGTGGCCACTGCTGCTGACACTCCCATTTCCGGTACCATCAACACCAGTTCCTCCCTCCCCTTCAACGGCTTTAGTGGAAACAGCTGCAGCCGCCGCCGCCGCAGCCGAGGCCACCGCAGCCGGCGAGGTGGAGAAGTAGCGAATCTGCCCGGGAATGAGGCACTCGCACTCGACCACCACTTTATCCGTGGGAATGGTGAAGCGGCCGTCCGCCGACTGGACGCCCTCCCGCAGGAAGATGGACACCCGGGTGTGGATGTCCTTCAGCAGATTGAGCAGGTAGTAGCGAATCAGCTGCAGCTGCAGCAGGTCGTACCGATTTTGGTAGTGGAAGAGAAACTGACTGCGCACCGTTCCGACCAGTTCTGCCGTTTCAGGAAACCCCGACTCAGCCTCTCCACTGCCTCCGCCCCCTCCTACCATCTCCTGCAGCGAGGCGAGGTGATTGTCGGTGATCAGCAGCAGGTCGGAGGGCTTGGAGCAGCTGACCAGCTGGTACTTGACCACCATCACCATCAGGTCGAAGAGCTTGTTCATCGACTGCTCATTGAGGCGCATGATGGAGGAGTGGGCCAGTTTCTCAAAGACCGACCGCAGCAGGGCAAAGGTGATGGTGTTGTGCGGCTTGAAGACCTCGCTGATCAGTTTCGAGTTGAACATGGCCAGGGTGATGTCGTTCAGGACTGAGGGTTTTGGAGTAGAAAGTGCTCCGGTTTAGTTTATTGTGTGTTTGGTTAACCCGGTTTTGTTTCGTTGTACGACAGTGAACTTTGCTGCCTTTGTTTTGTTTTTGCATTGCTCAGTCTGGTCTCACCTTTGTTTGCCTTCGTCGGCTCCACCGCCTGCGCCGTCAGTCGCTGGTCGATTATGTACACCATCTCGCCGGCCATGTTGAAATAGATGATGGCGAAGGATTCGGCAAAAGACATGGCTGGGTTTGGTTTTGTTTGGTTTAAAGACTGCTTTGGTGATGAACGGAAACTGGTACAGTGTACGGCTATCGGCTGTGCAGTCGATCATTGAGGACGCGAAAAATTGCTGTTTGCGGAAAATGAGCACTCAATTGACGAGCACACCTTTTGAGCAAGTTTGAACACCGGCGGCGGCTCACTCTCCAGAAATGATCTACGATGGTAAACAAGCGGAAAACAATACCTGCCTGGTCGTCATGGCGACAATGACGACGACGAAGACGACCGATTTTCCACAATGTTTTTTGACAGCAAAACACACACACTCACACACTAGTGCTTTGTTCACAACCACCCAGACACTGCCTAACAATTTCTGGTAGCAGAGAAATAGAACAGAGCAGACCCAATTGAATACCGTTCCAGGAATGAGCAGTACTATCTATGATACTGTGCAATGTGTAACACTGTACTGAAAACGATCGGCTGAAAAAAAGAATGGCGTGTGAGAAAACTCGTATTTTATTCCTAGTGCAACGACAGTATGTGTGTGTGTGTGAAGAATAATAAATAGCTGAAAGTGGGGAAAAAGCTGCTAATGAAGGGAACGGAAAACGGTGGTGTTGTGCCTTGTGTGAAAGAGAGAAAAAGGGGAAAAAATTATCGATGGCTAACGGGGGGAAACAGAGAAAACGATGATTGCAAATCGATCAACAGGGCACTTGGCTGAACTTGAGCAGAAAGCCTTTCTGATGGCTGATGGAGGGCGACTCAGACATTGACTTGGCGTCAGAGTGAATGTACATTACGAAGGGGGCGTTGTAAGCTGCAAAAAAGTTGACAATTANAACGACAGTATGTGTGTGTGTGTGAAGAATAATAAATAGCTGAAAGTGGGAAAAAGCTGCTGTAATGAAGGGAATGGAAAACTGTGGTGTTGTGCTTTGTGTGGAAGGAGAAAAAGGTGGGAACAATTATCGATGGCTAACGGGGGGAAACGGAGAAAACGATGATTGCAAATCGATCACCCTTAGCAAGGCACTTGGCTGAACTTGAGCAGGAAGCCTTTCTGATGGCTGATGGAGGGCGACTCAGACATTGACTTGGCGTCAGAGTGAATGTACATTACGAAGGGGGCGTTGTAAGCTGCAAAAAAGTTGACAATTAAGAACACCGAAACATCATCAGTTAGCACACTTACAGAAGACGTCCTCATTGTTTGCACTGCCCAGCGGATTGGAGCTGAGCTTCTGTCCGCAGTACCGCTCCACGTAGCCGGCCTTGGTCTGGTCCGTGCCAAAGGGAATGAGCACAAAGTCGGAGTCGGGCACCAGACCGGTGCCGCCGCCCGCCTTGGAGACGCACTGGTCGCCCGGGGTGCTGGTGCCCGGCGTGCTCGTGGAGACGCCGCCAAAGTCGAACTCAATTGCCTGCCACTTAATGGCGCACATGCGAGGCAGGCGGCCGATGCAGACGCCGTAGTTGAGGTTGTTCAGGTAGTTGGCGGCCACCTCGGTGGCCAGCGGATTCACCCCCGGTCCGATGCCGCCGCCGATGGGCGGCACGGTGCTGGTGGTCGTCACCGGCAGATTGGTGGTGCGGTAGTTGAAGCTCTCCACGTTGCCATTCGCCGCCGGGTAGTACTGCAGACAGCCCGGGGGAGCTAGTTGGGGGTGATGGGAAAGGTGTTGAGAAAGGTTAGTGTTAAAAATAAATAGTGTACAGTTTGTTTTATTACCTCGCCACTGTGACTTGCAGGGAATCTGGCGAATGCGGACGCTCCACTTTCGGTTGTACTCCTGCTGATTTGCGGTGTTCACTATCAGCAGCAGCGGGTCGTCCGTCTTCTCGGGGTCGACGTCGAGGTAGACTAGTGGGGAAAAAATGAAGTGGGTTTTAAGTTTGGAACTAAAAAGTTACTCAATACTACTCACTATGCTGTCCGGTCATCTCGCCGCAGAGCCCGGTGGTGGGCAGGCCAGTCTGGTTAAAGTTGGACGCCNGGATTCACCCCCGGTCCGATGCCGCCGCCGATGGGCGGCACGGTGCTGGTAGTGGTCACCGGCAGATTGGTGGTGCGGTAGTTGAAGCTCTCCACGTTTCCGTTCGCCGCCGGGTAGTACTGCAGACAACCCGGGGGAGCTAGTTGTGGGTGGTAATGGGAAAGGTGTTGGGAAAGGTTAGTGTACAAAAGAAATAGTGTGTACAGTGTGTTTGTTACATTACCTCGCCATTGTGATTTGCAGGGAATCTGGCGAATACGGACGCTCCACTTTCGGTTGTACTCCTGCTGGTTGGCGGTGTTCACGATCAGCAGCAGCGGGTCGTCCGTCTTCTCGGGGTCGACGTCGAGGTAGACTAGTGGGAAAAAAGTGAGTTTTACCTTTTGAAACTAAAAAGTTACTCAATACTACTACTGACTATGCTGTCCGGTCATCTCGCCGCAGAGCCCGGTGGTGGGCAGGCCGGTCTGGTTAAAGTTGGACGCTCCCGAGACGAGGAAGGAGTCGGTGATGCCGTTGCCGCAGACGCCGTCGTAGTGCGGCGCCAGCGAGAACTCATCAAAGTCGATGCGAATCTGACAGACGGGGAACTTGAGGACGATGGGGTTCCGTTGCAGCGTGAAGATGCACACCGGCGGGTCGATGCGGCCGGTGAGCAGGCTAGGGTAGTTCGGAGAGACGAAGTAGGTTTCATTGCTGGTCACCACAGCGCGACAGGTGCCCTGGTCTGAAAGATGAGAAAAAAGTGGTATTTTGTTTGAACACGATTTCTACANTTGCAGCGTGAAGATGCACACCGGCGGGTCGATGCGGCCGGTGAGCAGGCTAGGGTAGTTCGGAGAGACGAAGTAGGTTTCATTGCTGGTCACCACAGCGCGNACGAGGAAGGAGTCGGTGATGCCGTTGCCGCAGACGCCGTCGTAGTGCGGTGCCAGCGAGAACTCATCAAAGTCGATGCGAATCTGACAGACGGGGAACTTGAGGACGATGGGGTTCCGTTGCAGCGTGAAGATGCACACCGGCGGGTCGATGCGGCCGGTGAGCAGGCTAGGGTAGTTCGGAGAGACGAAGTAGGTTTCATTGCTGGTCACCACGGCGCGACAGGTGCCCTGGTCTGAAAGATGAGAAAAAAGTGGTATTTTGTTTGAATACGATTTCTACAAAAGATTTTAGGGAGCTTACAGACACAGCAGGAGAGGACAAAGCCGCAGCTGCCGGCGACGTAGCCGCCCGAGCTGAGACAGGCCGACTTTGGCATGCACAGACCGACGCGATTGTCCACGGCGGCAGTGCACTCGCTCCGGGCGAAGTGACTGATCGGCGTCAGCAGCGAGTTGATCACTGTCAGAAAGGGATAGGCTAAGGGGGTTAACGACGGATTCGACAAACTTAAGGGGTACCCTAGCAAAAGGAACCTATTGCTACCTTTTACTAACCATTAGTGGGCTCCTGGCCGGGACGAAAGAACTGGCCCAAGACGGCGGTTGGGAGGATGAAAAGAAACAACGAAAATATTTGAGACAGATTCATTTTGAAAGAGGTTGCTTTTTTGGTTGAGGACTAATGGCGCAGATGAAACTCTGATGACTAGGCTGCGGTGTGCTGGTGGTGTTGACCACTGATGGTGATGATGATGATGTCGATGATGCAGTCGGCAAGTGATGAGCAGTAGCGGCCTGGAGTTGGTAAAATCAGCACTGTTAAACAAAAGTGTGATGGCAGCGGCGGCGGTGGCGAAGACAAAAGTGATAAAAACCACACATACTCACCGCCGGACTAGAGGACCAGTTTGTGTTTGCTTAGTGCTACTGCTGTGTGGTGCAATTGACCGAAACCAGTCGGGCGATTATGTTAGTCGCCAGCTGAGAGCGTGGGGTGCCCCTCTCTCTTCATCTCCTCTCGACCAGGAAGGGCAAGAGCAGCGGGTAAAACAAAAGGGGAACGATAGCAATTTGCATGACAACAGCTTCTTCTCTTTTAATTTGTCGGCTAATTGATGTGTGCCTGCTTTAAAAATAGAAAGCCTGCACTTTGAATTGCGGCGGTGAAGTATCCGTCCGCTGAACGTGTGTGTGTGCTTGACATCCATTTTCTTTAAATCTTTTTCAACTGTTTATGAGGTTGTGGGGTCATCACTGAAGACGACAGTTATTTGTCTTTTATTTATACGCTCGACTATAAAAAAACTTCTGTGCAGGTCAAGTGCGTTTGGTGGTGGTGGTGGTCATATGGCACTATGTGCACTAAATGCACAGGCAACAGGTTCAACACAACAAGGCAAAGAGGTAAAGGGGTTCGATGAACTTTCCTTTGTTGCTCTGAAGGTAGGTCGTTGGGTCGTAAATCAGTCTGGTCGGTCGGTTGGTCTGTCTGCGGCTGACTTTCAGGGCAGTCCTACGCACTGTCTCTGCTCTTGCTGGTAAGGGGTCATACGGCGGTCTGAATTTGGTAGTTGGTAAAGCAATTACAGCAATTTACTGCATTGAAAAGTTTTTCGTATAGTTTAAAAAAATGAAAACTCTGCAAAAGGGCTCTTTGAAGAAGAAAGCATTCTGGTCGAGGAGAATATCTCCAAAAAACCTCCAACGATTCAGCGTGCAACAGGGCACTGATGCTGCTGCTTTACTAAAGCTACTCGTGGATTGGCGCCATACAAACCATTTTTTCAACTGCTTTTTTCTGCTTGTACCAGTTGCGTATTTTTTACGATACACTTTTAATCTACAAAGATACTCAAATTTGCTGACTCGTTGAAGATTGAAGATTTCGATTTTGCGTGATTGTTGCGTGACTCTCCGCCGAAATTCGCCTAGCGATCACAGTCACAAGCGCACAACTTGTGTGAACGGTGGCACCGAACAGCTGCTGTTGTTTACGTTTTTCTCACGTAACAACAAAACAGACGCAACTTTCAAAGTTCTTTTTATTTGTTCCCTTTCTCTCAACTCTCATTCATTTGATTCATCACTCCATTATTATTGCTCCGGTGAAGTCTGGTCACTTCACCTGGCACGGCAGACGACCTGGTCATGTCAACGAATCAGACCAAGATTACCGGCTACTTCAAAAAGCAGTTCACCGACAAGAAGAAGGCACAGAAGAAAGCCGCCCCGACGCCGCCAAAAGACGGTTTGCCCAAGGCGAAGCGGCAAAAGTTGCAGCCGGGCAGTGATGATTCGAAGAAGAAGTACACAAATGGATCTCACAGGTAAGCGTATGATTACTCAAGTACTCTTAGGAGTTTTGCTTACAAAAATCTATATCATTTTAAAATAGGTACATCAAACTCTACGAGAAAGATGATGCAAAGCAGACAACTCTGCCCTTTACAGCAGAGTCAAAAAGCACGGCTGGAACGAGCAAAGGAGGAAAGTCCAGCTCATCACTTGACGCACATGACTCTTCAACTGACCAGGAGGAGAAATCTTGTCTAAGGCCTAAAAAGGCCAAAAAAGCCGCCGCTCCACGGGCGCCCTTTATCAACCAAAAATTCAGCACACCCATTGAGGCGCTTCAAACGGTCTTCCAGTACAGCGGCTTTCGAAGTAAACTCCAGGAGGACTCGGTGAAGGAGGCCATGAACCGGAGGCATGACATCTTCATCTCCATGCCCACTGGAGCTGGCAAGTCCTTGTGCTATCAGCTGCCGGCCATCTGCGAGGAAAGTAAAGTCACGATTGTCATTTCGCCTCTGTTGGCCCTGATTGGCGATCAGGTGTCGGCGCTGCTCAATCGAAACATCAACGCCGCGGCCTACAATTCGCACACCAAGGCGGACGATAAGAAACGCCTGATGGGCGACCTGATGTCGGACAGTGTGCAGGTGAAGCTGCTGTACATCACCCCGGAGATGGCCTCGATGGAGGTGTTCGGCAACGTCATCGGCCACCTCTACCGAAGCGACCAACTGGGGAGGATCGTCGTCGACGAGGCGCACTGTGTCTCAGAGTGGGGCCACGACTTTCGCCCAAAGTACCTTGAACTGGGCGAGCTCAAGAAGGCCTTTCCCCATGTCCCTTGGATCGCCCTCACCGCCACTGCGCCGATGAAGGTGAAGGACGACATTCTGCGTCTGCTTCAGTTCCGCCAGCCTGTTCGCGAGTTTGTGCAGACCAACTTTCGGCCGAACATTTACTACGAGGTGTACTTTAAGGAGGCCTACCCCAAGCCGCTGGAAGACCTGAAGGAGTTTGTCATTTACCAGTTGGGCTCGCCTGAGCTGATCATGCAGTTCAACACCGGCGGCGGCGGCCTGCAGAACATTTTTGCTGTTGCAGATCTAAGCACGTCAAGGGCGCCCGTCGACCCGAAGGCAGTGGGCATCATCTACTGTCGAAAGCGGGAGCACTGCGACGAGATTGCGCAAATCATCTCAAAGTGCGGCATCAAGGCGGGCGCCTACCACGGCGGCCTGAACGAGAAGGCGCGCAGCAAGTGCCAGGTCGGCTGGATGGAGGGCACCATCAAGGTGATCGTCGCCACCATCAGCTTCGGCATGGGCGTCGACAAGGCGGAGGTGCGCTTCGTGGTGCACTGGGACATGCCGCAGTCGCTGGCGCGGTACTATCAAGAGTCAGGACGGGCCGGTCGCGACGGCCTGCCCTCGAAGTGCCGCATCTACTACTCGCCGGAGGACCGAAACTCCATTGCCTTCCTCATTCAGCAGGACCTCGAGGAGAAGAGGCGCAAAAAGCCGAACAGCAAACCCAACGACCAGTCGATAAAGGACTTTGAGAAGATGCTGGCGTACTGCGAGCAGACGGACCGGTGCCGCAACTCGAGGCTGCTCGCCGAGTTTATCGGCGCTGAGAAGAGCGTCGTGGAGAATGGCTGCAAGAGGTGCTGNCGAGCCGAAGGCGCTCAAGTCGCGACACTTTGAGTTTGAGAAGGCCATCAACAAGCGGATGATGGGCAGGTGTGCCGGCAGCAGCAGCAACGACCTCTTTTACATGCCCAAATCGGATGATTCCGGTGGTAGTGGTGGTGGCGAGGAAAAATTTGGCACCTTTAAGGAGGTCACCATGAAGGACGTCGTCATGGAGGAGTTTGCCAAACGAAAGTCGGCCAGCAGTAGCAGCAGTAATAGAAGTCCGCATTCGGTCAAGACTAGCACCAGCAACAACAATAACAACAACAGTCGCGCCGGCGCCGGTTTTGTCTCTGCCTCAACGATGGTCCCCAGCAAGGGCGGCAGTACTGGGAAGAAGCCACTGCTGTCACTGTCGGGCGGCATCAACAGCGACATGCGAACACTGCTCACCGGAAAGATCACCGAGGAGGTGACGAAGCACCTGGAGCAGCTGATCAGGGGCGGCATGCTGAAGGATCTGGGCGACTCGGCGGTGACGGTCGCTGGCCTTCGCCAGCGGATGGTCGCCGGTGAGGAGGAGAAGATCTACGCCTCGACGAGCAACAAGCTGCTGTACCGCGCTGGCGTGGTAAAGCTAATCCAGGCGATTCGCGGCTCCACTGCCAGTCTGAAGCTGTACCCGCCCCTAGCAGACTACATGCTCCACTGATAGTAGTACACTGAAAAATTGAAACTTTACAAACTGACAAAAACTACTGTGTGGCTAGGGGCGGGGAGAAAAATGAACTGTTAAGCCTTTTTTCATGTGTTTATATTATACAAACTGTGAAAAGTGTGGAAAAATGTATAGAGTCCCTTTCCCGACTGGAGTTTTATCTCTCTGCAGCAAAACAGAATGTGTAGAAGTTGTTGTAGTGGTTGTTTACGACATAGAAGAAGATTAATAGCTACGGGCACTCTCAGTCAATGGTAGTGGTGATGGGGGTGGACTTTGGACAGTTGGCCACCCAGGGAAGGGTGAGCAGCCGGGCCACTGAGCTGCGACTCTCCTCCGGCTGAAAGATGCTCTTCAGCACGTGAAGACAGTCGGCGGACAGTGGCTCTCTCAGCTGCTGCTCCTGTTGTTCCGAAGACCGCTGCGGCTCCTTCTCCTCCTCTTCCTCCTCCTTCTGCTCCTCCTCCTGGCCAAAGGTGATCATCGAGAACTGGAAGGTCTCCATCTCGTCCAGCTGCTCCGGACTGATGGGGAAGGCCTTGAAGAGCCACACATAGAGGATGACGCCACAGGCCCAGACGTCGTTCAGCGCCACGCTGTACGGCTCCGCCTGCAGCAGCTCCGGGGAGCAGTAGTTGGTCGAGCCGCAGAAGGTCAGACTGCGCTTCTCTAGGCCAACAGTTCTGCCAGCAGCGGCAGCAGAAGAACTTCCTTCTTCAGCTGAAGTGGAAGAGGATGCCTGAGGAAGAAGAAGCTGGCGATCACTGGCAGCTTTCGCAGTCGTCTCACACTGCTCACAGACGGTCAGGTCGATGCAGAAGCCAAAGTCGCAGAGCTTCAGGTTGAAGTCGTCGTCGAGAAGGAGGTTCTCGCATTTGAGGTCTCGGTGGGCGATGCCGTGCTGGTGAAGGTGGTCCACGGCGGCGAGCAGCTGGGCGAACCAGCGCCGGGCGAGGCACTCTGGCAGGCGGTCGCGCTTCTTTGCAAACTCAAAAACGTCTCCGTTGGTGCAGTGCTCCATGATCATCGTGATTCTGAGGTGTAGGTTTTGGTTGTGAGTAGAAAATTTTTTTTTCTGATTGATGTTTTTGTCTACTTACATTTTGTTGTTCGGAACATTACTGCTGCTCTTCTCCACCTCGTTGATGGTGAACAAATGATACATGCGACAGATGTTGGGGTGCGACGGCAGCGAGCGCAGCGCCCAGAGCTCACGAAGTAGGAAGAACTTTTTGTACTTTTCACTAAGTCTCCCAGTGTCCATCACCTTCACGGCGTAGGTCTGGTTCTTCTTCTTCCAGGTGGTAGTGGTGGTCGACTTTCCATTTTCAACCGGCGTCTCATCGGTGTAGGTGGCCCGATAGACCTTGCCAAAGGTGCCCGAGCCGATCGTTTCGCCCAGCTGAAAGTTCATCTGCGCCAGCACTTCGGCAAAGTAGGGCGGCACCTCAAAGTCGTTGTGCGTCTTTGACAGACCATCACACACCCCCTTCTTGTAGCTTGGGCTGAACGGCTGAGGGTGAGAGGAGACGATGGTGTACGACGTTGTGCTTGCTGCTTCTTCGCCATCTTTTGAGCCGCCGCCTCTTTCTTTGAATGAGATCACGGCAATGTGCGGCAGAATGACTGGCGCTTCTGCAGAAGGTAAAATCGATAATGATGAAATGGCACCACAGAAAAGAGTACTTACTGCTCGCCAAATGTTCACACTGGTGTGAATGCCCAACCGTGGAGTGCTCGTGGCCTTCTTCCGAGCCTTCTTCTGGGTTAGAGATCGAAGCGTAGAGGTAGGGATTATTGTTGTTGTTGTTGCACCAGCCGCTGGTCACTGATTCCACGGAGGCGCTGCTCGACCAGGAGCCAAACTCTGCCATCAGGGCCGGCTTCAAGGAGAGCGAATCCGAAGATTGACTAATCGGATCAGACACAAGCTCATCCACTTTCTTCTCTTTGTCGTCATTCATCATCTTCTCGTCGTCGTCGTCGTTGTCGTTTCAAATCAGCTGAAATGTCTTTACAGTGCTGTTTGTACACACTGGAAAGAAGGCACTAGCAAATCGGCGCTGGCGGCGATTTTCTGGGGGGACAGTCATCACTGCTCCTGCTGCTGCTTCATTTGCTGACGATGTTTTAGAATGTCAGTAACGGTTTTAGAACTTTTTCACCTGATTGCTCAACAATAGCTCATTTTTGAGATGTATTCTAGCTGTTTGCTTACGCACACGCCTCAACTTTGGCAGAAAGATACGTTTGGCACTTTTTGAAAACAACCTACAGCCTCATCACTTTTGTCATTGAAATGTCTGTTTTCGTTTCGTTGACCACAACAGCCTTGTTTGTGCTGTTGCCGCTTATCAGCGCCTACCCACTGCCACCACCACAAGCACGACAGGCAGGCGGCTTTCAGCTGGACACTGCTTATCAGCAGTATGATTCGGCAGTGAATGTACAGCCGATGCTGCCGGTGGCGGCACCAGCACCTGTGCCAGCTGGTCGGGCCGCCATCGGCCGACAGCCACAGTTTCGCCACCGAAACGATGACTACTACGACGACCCGAGCGGCAGCAGCTCTTCTATGTTCGTCCTAGGCATGCTGGCCATTGTCATCGGCGTCCCCTGCTTTCTCTGCTACTCTCGCAAACGTATGTCCTTCTTTTACTTGTTGTTTACTTAAGACCCATAATCTTCCTACAGATAACGTCGTTCCCTGCTGTGGTGACGATCTGCTGACCACTGTCGGCAACGATCACCAGCAGGCAGCTCCCTCTCGAAAGAGCCGACGCAAAAGACGCTCCAAAAGTCGCCGCCACCGTCGGGCGAAAAAAGCGAAAAAGGAAGAGGAGGAGGAGGAGAAGGAAGATGATTCGCTCAGTGATGAGAATGACTCGCTGGACGACGGCTTCGATGAGGAGAAAGAAGAGGATGAGTCCAGTGATTCAGACAGTCCGCTGGGCACTGGCCACACTGGTACTGGGCACAGGAAGAAGAAGAAAGGTGGTGGTGGTGGCCGCAAGAAGGATCATTACGGCCGCCATCGCCGACACCGCCATCGCCGCTCAAGCAGTGCCGATCAGAAGAAGACGAAGAAGAAGCGGGCGAGAAAAGACCGAGAACGTCAACAACAACAAGAGCGAATGCTGCTCAAATCGCCGCTCACTGATGCGCAGCCTGATTTGAGCAGTGGTGGCGGCGGTGGCAGCTCTTCACTGGTGAACACGTCTTTAGCTGAGACAACGACGGCGACTGCGACCACTCCCACAACTCCTCAGCAGCAGCAGCAGCCACTGCCAACTGCTGCAGCTGGAAAGGAAGAGTACGCGTACATCGTCTACCGCCCAGACGCCAACTACGTGGCCGTCGCTCGATCGCTGAAGGACCTCGTCCCACCTAACACCACCGTCGTTTACAAGGTGGACGAGACGTCGAACATGCGCGACGTGGGCACCCTCCTCAAGACCGCCAAGAGGCGCATCAAAGTTGTTGGCGGTGGTGGTGGTGGTGGTGGTGGTGGTGGCTCTCGGCCGCCGGCCAATACCACTGAGCAGTCTCCACCTGAGGCTGCTGGCTCTGGCAAAAGTCCCACCAGTTTGTACCTGCCGAAAAGTCTTCGCAGCGGCCGCCAGACCCACCGCTCTATTCGCTCCGACTACTTTGTCGTCAACAGTGACGCGTTGCTGAAGAGCAGCCTGGAGCAGCAGCAGCAACAACAACAGCAGGAAGAGAGGGAGAAGGAGCGAGAGGAAGAGGTGGTGGGCGGCATCGAGGACACTGCAAAGACGGCTGAGAAGGTGCCCGAAAACCAGCAACAGCAGTTGAGGGGAATGGGCAGCAAATCGCCGGTCAAGATGAACCACACAATGTATGTGTACTCCACCAAAACGCAGCTCGCCAAGTGGTCCGGATTGTTGGAGCAGCCAGCTCAGCAGCAGCAACAGCAACCACCACCACCATCACCTCAAGGCATCCTGGCGAAGACACTGGAAAGTCTGCCCTTTGGTATTGGAGAAGTGCTGAAGCAACAGCAAAGTCAGCCGAATGTTCCAGCTGTGTCATCTTCTCTCCCTTCTCCTTCTCTTCAACAGCATCAACAGCAACTCTCAGTTGAGGGTGATTCGGATGATTTTGAGGGCGAGGAAGGGGAGGCGGAGGGCATGGCCAGAGAGGATGAGGATGACAGCAGCGATGATGAGGACATGGAGGCGTCGGCGGCGGCAGCAAAGAAGCGTCGCAAAAAGATGCGAGCCAGGCAGAGCCGCCGTCGAAAGCATGCTCTGAAGCACCGAAGGCACCGTCGTCCTGCCGTTCCCGACAGAAAGCTGCACCGACTGAAGAAGCACCGACGAGGAGGAGGACGCCACCGTTCTCTTCGGGCTTGAATTGTGGGCGACATCTTTTTGTCTCTTCACATCCTTTTCCTCGCTTCTCCTCACCTCTTCTTACCACTTCCAAGAGTTTCTGCATTGCAATCTTCACGCGCGCACATATTTGCACAATTTTTAGACAAATACATCATTTTAATGTGTAAAAAGTCAGTTTTTGGATATTTCGCAAAGGTTAACTGCGTTTAGTGCTTTATTTTTTATAAACTAAAATGTATACATTGTTGGTGATGTGGTTCACAGGTGTGACACTGCTAAAAGTTTGTGAGCATGTGCTGCAGAACATATTTATGTGCATCGATCGTTGATGCAAGAGCGGTGGAGAATGTTCTTCTTGCAGTCATCATTGCTTCGGCAAATCTGAGTGAAAAAAATTGGTTATTTTTGGTAGCTGTTTGCATTGACAAGTGTAATCGTACCTTGTGCTTAGAGGTGATGCAGTGTCCGTTAGAGCACTCGAAGTACAGTCCTCGACGAAGACAGTCCAGGTTTCGCGTGCACTCAACGGTTTGCAAGCACAGGGCGTTCACACATCGACCAGTGGGGCCACACTCTGAGTCGAAGTGGCAGGCAAAGGCAGAGGCGGCCACCAGGACAAGGCCCAAAGTGATGAGAGCGAGCTTGCCGTTCATTGTGGAAGTGTCTGGTTTGGTAGTAGTTTTCAAATGACAACTGATGTCTCTTTTTTAAATTTCGCCAACTTTATATAGTCAATCAACAGGTAGCAATCGGCGAGCAGACTGTTGACAGTGGTTGCATTCGGGAAGAGTCACAGTTAATTAATTACGATCTAATCAAATTTTATAATGTGAGTTTTTAATTTTTATTACTTTCAACTTTTTTACTACACTTGGGTGAAAGACTCAAAACTGAAATTGGTTTGATAACCAATGGGCAACTTGTGTTAATCCATATACAGTGCAAAGCACTCGACAAACAAAACAATAATGATAATTAGTAACTCACAGTAACGATCAATTAAAATGTAAAAAATAAAAAAGTACAAATCTAAACTTTTTTTTGCAATATTTTTTATTTTGATTATGCAATCATGGGTCACAATTACAAAGTGTTAGTACGTATTGTGGCAGGTTAACGTTAGTTATGTCAATAAATGTCATCAATCGGATAAACAAAACAAACAATCAATCAGAATAAAATCAATTAATTTTTAACAAACATTAATAAACGTTTTTAATAACATAATTAATGTAAAAATTGTAACTTGTAGTTTTGTGTCACTTGGGATCAAGTAAGCTGTTGCTAATTTAACTTAGACAAACTAATTGGTTTTTGCAAAAAAAGATGTATAAACTTGAAAAAAAGTTTGCAGTTTTTTCCGTGTTTATTTCTTTACTTTATACCAGTAATGACACTCTATTTTAGATTAACTTAAAAATAAAATTTTATTTTACGTTTTTAAGTGATGTAAAAATAACAACTTTGTAAATGAACATTTTAAAAAAACAATTAAACACATCGGGAATCAGCATTGCAGTGCTTGTGCAGGATGTTCTTCTTGCAATCGTCATTACTTCGGCAAATCTAAGTTTAAAAAGATTAAACAAACACAAATTAGTTTATTTTTGCAAGATTGAATTAATTTAGTAAGCGTTTATCAAAAAAACTACCTTGTGCGTAGATGTAATGCAACGGTTGTTTGAGCACTCAAAGTACAGTCCCTTGGTTAGACAGTCAATGTTTCGGGTGCACTCGGCCATTTGCAGGCAGAGGGCGTTAACACAGTGACCAGTGGGGCCACAATCTGAATCGTAGTGGCAGGCAAAAGCAGAGGCGGCCACCAAGACGAGGCCAAAAGTGATGAGAGCGATCTTGGCGTTCATTGTGAAAGTTGGCTTAGTAATTGGTAAAAAACAACAACTGGTGTTTCGTTTTTGATTCTGCTCAACTTTATATATAAGTGATCAGCAGGTGGTTGCATTCAAAAAGGGTCACATTTAGTAAGGAAAACAATCTTATCACACTGTAGAGTAAAGGATTTTGACTTACCTTAACTGTTGATAAAATTAAACAAAAACAATTGTCTTGAGAGCTGATTGACAATTGATGCGCTAATCATACGCAATTACTACTGCCAACTAAAAGTTAACACTTTAAATGTGAAGAAAATCACTAAAGTAGTAGTTGTGGTCGTGGTTGCAATCAATAGAAATGGCAAAACCAAAAAGAGGGAAAGATGTAGAAGCCTGACTTTGTTTGCAATGATGACTAATTTGTGCGCTCCAGTTACCAATCGTCGATGAGAGGTAATTAAGCGGTGCTGCAAACTAATACACTGCTCTTGGTGATAGACGATCATCAAACAAGAAAAGAAAAAATAAAAGCAAAAAGACCTCCTGCAGCGAATGTCTACTTGACTTTGACAGGTGTCACTAATGGGATGTTTTCACAACTGAACTGCACTGCTGTAGACTGCAGTGCAACTGGGACAGTACTAGTGCACGGATGATTTCAGTTAAAGTTATAATTTAAAATTTAAATATGTCCTCTAAATGCTCTCCATTTGCCTGACTAAATTATTTAAAAAATTTTAAGAAACAGGAAAAAATATTTAAAAATGCATTCTTGTAGAAAAAGTTAAACAACAATTAGAAACTTAGGGCATACAAAGTTCGAGAATGTCCTTATGACAAACCTAAGCGAAAATGATAAAAACACGCTTTCAAAGTTTTTTATTGCTATCATTTGTGTTCAGTGCTGTAACTTTCTTTGCCTGTTGATAAACTGTTCAAATTGTTATATGTTGCATTACGAAACGATGACTCGCCTGATTCTGTTAGCGCTCCTAGGTGGACTTTTGGAAATGAACAGCTTTGATGCACTGATGCTAGGATTGCCTGCTACAAACCACTCGACTTCCACTGTGAAGCCTGTGAAGCTCGAAACTGAAAAACTGGTCACATTGCCAATGAACTTGAGCGATGCCAAACAGCCAGTTTCAACCGCAAATCCTGTGAAGCTCAACACCAAAAAACTGGTCACATCGCCAATGAGTTTGAGCAATGAAACCAGCCCAAAATCTGTCACAACAGTGAAAAAGATTGAGAAAGTTAAACAGCCAAAAAATAAAACTCGCAATAGTGGTGATGTGTTTTTTCGAGCTAAACTCGGCGATGAGAATGATTCAAAGAGCACTACCACCACCACCACTACTGGAAAGAGTACCGAGAAGAGCTCAACCGCAACTGGAAAAAGCACCGAGAAGAGCTCAACCACTACTGGAAATAGTAGCGAGAAAAACTCCAGCTCTAGCACCCATCATGCAACTCATCGTAAGTCCAAGCACACATTCCCTTTGTTTTCCCTCTGTTCTTAACCACCACTCGTCGTCAAACTGTTCAACAAACACACAAACCACCTCTCTAGGCAGCATCGTCACACCGCTGATCATTCTGCTGGCTGTGGGCGGCGGCACCATTGCCCTGCTCCTCTGCTACATCTACGTCCTCGACGGACCTCGCGTCGGCAAAGAGGCGCCCAAGTCAAAGAAGAAGGGCGAAAAGTCGACCCGAAAGAGCAAGAAGACCTCAAAGAAGGATGGCATTCAGAAGCCACAGAAGTCCACTGTCTCCAGCTCGGTGGCCAAGTCGAAGGCCAACTCCTCAAAGGTGGGCAGCTCAGCTAGCAAGCAGTCGTCCACTGGAGGCGGCAGCAGCAGCAACAAAAAGAAGTAGGGCGCCCATCTGGACACTCAGTCCAACCACACAAGCCCTCTCTTTCTCGCTGGCATTTTCAGCAGCTACTTTTTGTTTGCCTTTTGTTTTACTGCATTTTTGCCTGCCAACCTCTGAGCGGCAACAATTTTTATTTTTACTTTCTTTTTTTCTTTGTTGTACCTCGTGTACATATTTAAAAAACTGAATCTCACCATTAAATGAGCACTTTATTGCCTCTTGCAAATTGATGGCAGAATCTTATCCTTTGATGATGATGATGATGATGATCAGGCTCTTTGTTTGCCAACTTAGGAAGTCAAGTGTTTGATTTATAGTGGCGCTGTTTGATCCACCAGCGGCGATTACCACAAAACTGTTGTTTGCTTTTTTAATTTATGTGACGATGAGAAGTGGTTGTTGACTTTTGATTGCCAACAGTTGTGTAGTACACAGGTAAACAGCATCTAAACTGTGAGCATCTACAGATGATGTCATATGACGAGCAACAGTTTTGAGAAATCCTTTTTGAGAATCTTTGAGACTTGTCAATATTTTGTCAAAATTCTCCTTCCTCATTGCACTGGCATTTTTAGTGCTCCCCAAACAGTTCAGTCCGGTCTGGGCTTACAGTCTAAAGGCATTGGCCATATCATTGCGATGTATCACTCTACTGCTTCTGCTGCTGTTACAGTAGTAGTTGCAGTGCATTTCTGTCCTATTACTACCACTAAAAACAGTGCATTGTGATGATACGCGATCAGAGTGCAAGTATGCACAGAGCCACAGATGGTCTGCAGAACGTTTTCTACTGTCGAGTGATCTCTTCTCTCTATCAGTGTCAAAGTGCTGCTTTAGCTTTCACTGCTGCTGCTGCCGCTTACACAACATGCTTATGGGCGTAAAATCAATCGCACAATCAGCACACACACACTCAGAAATTGTGAGGGCAGAGACACAGCAGAGAAGAGAGCAGGAAAACAGTTTTGGACCAAAAATACAGGCTTGTTTGGTCAACCTTCCGCGCATCTTTTTTCGGCAGCAAAACAATCCCGCTCAATCCCGCTTGTTTGCTTTGTTTGCTTGACCACACCGATTCTAGTGCCGGTTGAAGATTTGACTGAGGGAACATCAGAAAAAGAAGCTGTACAAGAAGAATCAAGTCAGAGATAAAAGGTTCAGTGTTGCCATAGCAGCACGTGTCATAAGGAAGGAAGCATCACCACTCATCATCACCGCCGCCGCCGCAAACGAGTCATTAAAGCTCATCGTAAACTTTGATCGCAGCGATTGAGAAGGAAGATACCCACATTAGAGAAGATCATCATCAACAAGAGCAGCACAGTTTGTTGTAGTGGCTGAGCAGTTGCTGCTGCCACTGACTGGTACCATACACAATCATCCCACATTGTCCGGTTACCATGATTCACGCCGTGTTGATATTTAACACTAGTGGAAAGCCTCGTCTGGTCAAATTTTATGACTACTACGTAAGTTGAGAACGGCTGTCGCTGCAGCTGCTGATCTGGTTGCAGATCTCTGGCCCCTCAGGCGGCAGTGATTGGAAAGAAAATGAGAAAGATATGACTGATGAGATTTCCTTTCCTTTTCTCCTTTTTTCCCAACCAGTCACCTGATATACAGCAGCAGATCACTGAGCAGACGTTTCGGGTGATCAGCAACCGGAGCCATGCTGAATGTCACTTTGTGGAAACTGATCTGTACGCGTCCTTAACCTTGGTCAACAGTAATTCAGTATTTTATTCATTTCAAATCTGCAGGTTCAGCAAGAATGGAATTCGCTCGAGCGATCTGCTGCTGATGTACCGGCAGTATGCGACGCTCTACGTCGTCTTCTGCGTGGACAAGGCCGAAAATGAGCTGGCCATTCTTGATCTGATTCAGGTTTGAAATTATGCAAATTAGATCAAAATTTTTCGACTCTAATGTATCATTTTACTTTAGATTTTTGTCGAAGCAATGGACCGATGCTTTGAGTCCGTCTGCGAGCTGGACATAATCTTCAACATGGACAAAATCCACTACATACTGAATGAAATAATCATGGGCGGTCTGGTGATTGAAACGAATCTCGAGGAGATTCTTGAAAAGTATCGCACCCAAGTGCAGCTTCACAAGAGTAGCACAGTAAGTTAACCACATTCACACACACACACACACACACGAACTGTGCTTTGCCGTACCACTTTCCTGATCTTGCATTTGTACTTGCCCATTTCTTTCGCTTACTATCTTTACTTTGCTGCTGTTGTTGTTGTGCTCAAACAACCTTCTTCTCTTTGACTCTTCTTTACTTCATTCTTCTTTCACACAAGGACAGTGCTAAACACCTGTTCGGAAGCAGCATCAGCCGAAGTCAATCATCGAGTAGTCGTTCAGTCATTCGAGATCCTCTTTCAGCGGCTCGTCTCAGTCTCAGCATGAACTGATGATGATGGCACCTGTTTCTCTCCCTCTCTCTCTCCTAGTCTTCAAACCCGCATTTAAATCCGCATTTCACACACTTTACCCATCAATAAAGTCCTCTACTCTCCAATCTCTATTTTCTACACTTTCCTACTATGTGTACTCTCTTTAACTATTCCTACCGCTGTCACTAAATTCTGTTCATGCTTTGCCCACCCACCCACCACCACCTTGCAGGATAAGGCGGCCAAGACGGCGTCAAACATTCGCAACAGCTTTGATCTCGAGGGACGCTTCAAGGAGCTAAAGAAGACTGTCAAGCAGAAGATTAAACACAGTAGTAAAAAGCAGTAATCTCTCTACAGTGCTGCTGTTGTCTTCGCACTACTTTTTTGTAAAATAAAACCCAACCACCTTTTTTCAAGGCTTTTTATGAGAATTTAATAAAATTGATTAACCACTGCACTGCATCGGTCAGTGAACCTAAACAATATAAGGCAGGTGTGTGTGTGTGTGTGTTCACCGACGTCACAAGTTTAGATAGTTCATCGTCAGGTAGACGCAAAACATAAATACAATAAAAAACCAAGCAGATCCAAAGAAGCCTAGCGTTGCTGTAGTGTAAAGTGGGCAAAGTTAATTAAACTTGAACGTACAAAAGGAGACGCACAACTTACCTCTTTTGGGAATTTTATGCAGCACAATTTGCTTATCACCGGACACTGATATTAATGCCGTCTCCGCCTCATTGCCCACCAGCTCCATCGATGCCTGCGTCGAGGGGAGAAACTCAACGCCGGAGACAAAGAACTTGTGCACGGCCGCCACTCGGTAGCAACGCTGCAGACTGAAGGCAATGTACACGTCCACGTCGCCGTCATTCGTTCCAATGGAAATGAATCGACCATTGTCGCTACAAAGAACAGGAACAGAATAAGTTAAAGAATAAATACACCAAAATCAAACTGTACCTGATGCCGAGAGCACTGAGATTGTGCCCTGCTGGAGCAAACTTTTCAAATAAATATTGATCATTGTTCACGTGCCACTTGACGAGGTACGAGGGAATTGTGTTTGAGCGAGGAACGGGGTTCAGTATTAAAAACAGACGAACATTTGTTTGATCTCCTGAAAATTTAATAATAAAAGTCAGAAATAAGTAAAAACGCCATCGCCTCCAGCTGTTTCGATTACCTTCCACTGTTCCATAACGGCACTTCTTGGCGACGTACTTAACATTTTGCACAATGCCGTTCTTAGGATCGGAATGCTTAGGAATCGCCTCGTCGTGCTTCAGCGTCGCCACCAGATTGCCATTGAATGAGTTCCAGATGAAGTTCAGGCCGTCTCGGGAGATGCTGATCAGGTGGGTGCCGGCAGGGTGCACGTCCATGTCGTCCACCTCAGAGGCGTGAGCCTTAAAGTTGAGCACCTCCTTGTAGTCGGGAAATGACCAGAACCGAATGACGCCTTCAGAGCCGGCGCTGAAGATCAAGTTGGCAGAGGGCGAGTATTTGATCAGCTTCTGGTAGGGATCATTGTGGTTGAAGTCCGTCTGAAAGGAAAGCCGGGGCGCAAAGTCAAAGGTGTACTCGGGAATGTGGACGTTCGTCGGTGGATTGGCCACCCGTATGGGCGAAGCGCGGTGTTTACTATCACGGCGGACTCCGCCGCCGCCTGACTGGATTGAGGAGTTGGCTTTAGCCTGTGACTCCTTGATGGTTGCTGCTGATGCCGCCCCTTGGGCAGCTCCACCGGCGCCTGGAATTCGATGTTGCTGCTGATGATGCTTTGAAGAAGAGCTGTTGCTTCCATCGCCGCCGCCGATGTTCTCCTCCACGTCCTCTTCTCTCGACTGCTGAGTACTGAAGCTGAAATGTCGCCGCCGAAGGATGGCATCATTTGGCGTCTGTTCGCCCGTCTTTCCGCCTGATATTTCGCTGTTTATCTTCAGCTTGACATTGTGCACGTAGCAAGAGCCGTCGCTGCCGCCTGAGAGCAGCTCAAACTGGTACTTTGTCTTTGGTACAATATCGAGGTTCATCACTGCTCGGTCCTCTGCAGGCAGACAAAAAGTTTAATCATCAAATGGAGTCTTCATCTTTAAGTCGCAACAACTCACCATTATCAAACCGACTGGCCAGGTTGATCCGCGCTGAATTGGTGGCCGGATCGTAGACCAACTCGTAGACGTCGAAGCAGTTTGGTACGCCGGTCTTCGAGGCACCGCCGCCGCCGGCGACAATAAAGTGCCGCTCTGAGATGACCTTCATGCAGTAAGGTGGAAAGTCCAGTCGCGCCAACAGCACCGGTTTGCTTCCATCACTGTTACCACTGGACATTGCTGCTCTTCGGAAATTGGCTGAGGATTTGGTTTCTTGATGAGAATGAAGTGATGGGGAATTCTCAAAACACAATGACTCAAGTAATGGCACTAAAGGTAAGCACAAAGATTGTCTTTTGCAGCTGACGAGAAGAACACGTAAACAAACCGGCGTCCAGGGCGACCAGGTGGACTGGCGCCTTTTCACGCCACAAGATGGCCTCACCTTCGCCGTAGTGGATGCATTTTTTGAACTTTAATCTGCAGCTCGCGCGCCTCTTCTTCAGACGTCATGAAATGGTCGGTTTTGTTGTTGTTTCAAGTTTTCCCTCTCTCTCTCGCGTGACTCAAATTGTCGGTACATTGCAACCTAACTCCGGCTCAGCTCCTGGACAGACAGTCGTCGACAAAGAAAAGTACTTTCTCAATTTCTACCAGAAGACTAGTGATACACAAATACTGAAAGTATTGTGTCTGGCAACTGAAATCCGGAGAAGAAGTACATTTGTAGCAATAATGTCGCCGCCAAAGATAACCCCAAGCTATTATTTGAGAGTATTTGTAGAAGTCATTTCGAAATGATGACGCGTGACTGTTGTCACATGCACACCGTGAAAAGGACTTTACGCCTATCAAATCAACAGTAAAAGTGTTAGTTGTTCCTGCGCAAACAAAATCTGCTGATCAAAAGGTAGGAGCTGCCAATCAGTAATATTCTTATACATGTCAGATCTTTTTGAGTATTTTTATTGATAAAAAACAGAAAGAAGATGACAGAAAAACAGGAGAGAAAAAGACCAATGTGTTAAAACACACAACATGCAAAAAATAACTCATGAACATGTTTGTAGAAAAAGTGTGCATAAATGGAGATACAAATTCAAAGAAAGGGTAATGTTGTAAAAATGTGTTTTGTTTTTTGAGCTGCATTGCAATCATTTGTGCGCGACGATCCTGATTTGCCCGTAGGTGAGCTCAAACTCACTCATTCCCTGACCGGCCTTGTTGGTGAAAATCTCGCGACAGTACAGGCGGAGGAAGGCCTTCTTGATGTACTCGTACAGGCCGCTGGACATGATCTGGTTGCGCTTGGTGCTGTCCTTCTCTCGCATGTACTTTTTTGTGAGATTTGGAAAATAGGGGAGGATCACTGAAAGTTGAAAAGAAAAGTTTCAGTTAGTATTTTTTGGTTGTAAAAATCAGTCAAGTTTACAACTAACCTGAAGTGAACTCATGACCTGGGTACAACTGTCGCAGTACGGTGGACTCAAGGATGATGTCTTTAAAGGAGTTCTTCTCGAAGAACGCCCTGAACTGCTCAACCTGCTCTTCTTCTGTGGGAATGTGCAGCAGTTTGTCGTACTTGGCCTTCTCCTCCTCGTCCAGGTCGTAGAACAGGTCCCAGAGGGTGGTGATGTTGGCGTAGAAGGAGCCGCCGTTCGGCTTCAGCAGGCGGTAGAAGTTGGCAATCGCCAGGTGCTTGTTCTCCACCCAGTGCAGCATTCGATTGGAGAAGATCAGGTCCACCTTGCCCTCCAGCGACTGAATCTTCGGATCGAGTTGGTTCCAGGGCAGGGCAATGTCCTGGACCATGTAGGAGATGCGAGGAGAGGCGTAGTGGTTGGCGGCGTACTTGATCGACTTCAGGTCAATGTCCAGGGCGAGGATCTTTCGACAGTGCAGACGAGAGTCGAGCAGGTGCGTCACGCGGCCGCTGCCACAGCCGACGTCCAGGGCGATGTTGAATCTAGAAGTGAATGGAGAATTAGTTATCTAAACAAAATCCAGAAATGTAAGATTACGTACTCGTAGCCATTCTCGTCAATGATTCGGTCCACCAGGTTGTTGGCGTCGCGCAGGTGAGCGTAGTTCACCTGATCGTACTCTTCCACGTCAATGTCCATTGGCATAGATTTTCTGAGCAAAAACAAATAGAAAGCTCTTTGTAGTTTAGTTGGCTGTGTCAGGGGACAGCAAATTCTTCAGTCTTGTTTTTAGGTTTCAGTGAAGCAGTGGCTGCTGTCGATCCAGCAGCTGTTGTGCTGACTTTGGTTGCTGTTGAGCTGGTGCTGGGCGCAAACTGGTGAAACGGAGCGTCGTGTCTGGCCATTTAGGCGAGGAGAAGTGTGCTTACTAAGCGGCTGACAACACCATATTAGGGAGTACTGGATTTTGGTGTGTCGCATGGTGTCGACGGCGGAGATGCTCTTCACTGTACAGTCTGCTCACTATCAGCAGAGGACATGAGGTTTTGTGTCCTGTACTAATCGTGGTCGTGGTCGTGCTGGCGGATCCGATCGGGTGAGCAATTCGCCCGCAAAAGCACCACGTACAAAGTGCCCCCACTGAAATGGCAAAAGTCGAAACTGATAACTGATAACTGATAACTGAGAAAACTACTCATCAAAGTGAATATCTTTCCCTCCCAGGCGCTCCTATCACCGTTTATGATAGTACAGATAGTGAAGAAGTGGTGGTGGTGGTGGTATCACCAGAAGTGCATCTACTTCGTCTTTTTCTTCTCATTCTTTCTAATGACATTGTTGTTGATGGTGGTGACATTGGTGGCATGGTGTGCGNGAAGAAGTGGTGGTAGTGGTGGTATCACCAGGAGTGCATCTACTTCGTCTTCTCATTCTTTCTAATGACATTGTTGTTGATGGTGGTGACATTGGTGGCTCGGCGTGCACCACACATTGCACCGAGGGGAGCCAACTGGTGAGATGGGGAGACCGAGGTGATGAGCTGCCCTGATAAAAGACTCCAGCTGAAGTAGTAGATGACAGAAGGACAACACCGCTCAACAACAAAAATCGGAGATGACAAAGGAGATGATGAGTCGGTCGGCAACAGATGCTCATTTTGGGTAGTCCTCAGTGTAAGACACTTTTTTTAAGATTTGTCCTCGAAATCCTGCACTACTTCTACTAAACCGTTTACTGATACCGATGATTGAAAAACTTGGCACCGATTATTACTGCCAAAGTTGTACAAACATGTTTACAAAATGTGCACAGAGAGGCTTCTCTTT